ATATGTCCAGCAAAAACTATTAGCATAAGGGGAATGGAGCCGCATTTCGTGGCCTGCGTCGCGAAGTTGGCGATCTTTGCAGTCGTGAGTTATATGACCGCAGCCTATGAGATGAAAAGGACTCTGGTTTCGACCTGCCTCACTTTGGTTTTGATTCTAAATCTTTGCGCGGGAAAGGCGAACGGAATCAATCGGAGGGCGCGGCCACGGGTTACGGTAACAGTCGTTCTGCCTTTGTTATCTGTCTTGTTCCCCCAACAAGCCCACCGCTCGGCGAAGTAGTATGGTACACTCTCTTTAACCTGACGCCTAACCGCTACAGTATGCGCTGCGACTCGTCCCTTTGCCGCGTCTGCGTCTCTTGCTTCGCCGCGCGGTGGGCCTGTTGGGGGACACCCCGGTTGACAGATGTCCGGAGACCACTTACTAGTATAGGGCGCCATTCGTTGCGGGACCCACTGCCTTAACCCGCGGGGATCCCAAGCGATCGCGGTTGAATTCGAACATTCCAGCTTCTCACGCATGTCAAGTGACTGCCCTCACCCCCCACCCCCTAGACTGGCTACACTGCCCCTGGCTCACGGATTCCCCGCTCCACATTGAAGGGTTCACTGTAGCAGGAGGCAGTGGGACCCGTAACGAATGGCGCCCTATACATACTAGTCAGTAGGAGTACCAAATCATGGCTCCAATTATGAGCATATACAAAGAACGAACCCAATAGACAGCAATGAACCATTGAGTATCCATTCCTTCACATCCAAACAATCGCGATGATGCCACCACCGGGTTCAGGCCGGGAACTCCAACGTAGATCAACGCTAAAATACAATATTAGCTCTCAAACAACTATGGGCACCATTTCAGCAGATCCACGTCAGACGTTGGAAGAATTGAAAAAAACTAGTGTAGTGTTTTACAAATGGAAACAGCAGAGTGGGTTGGGATCACATCCACGGGATTGACCTTGAAACAACTGCAGTGTTGGGTCAACGGTCTGTCCGGCTGAGCTAAACTAAAAGTGGTTGTATTTGGAGATTTTGGGGAGGGGTCGTATCGTTACAGTGGGGTCGCACTTCTTGGAGACATGGAGAGGGGACTTTGTCCACAAAAATTTGGAAATTTTTGTGAAATTTGTAGAAATTTAGAAGAGTTTTGGTGGAGTTCCTAACTGAACACCAAGATACCGACCAACCCTTTCCGCAAATCATAGCAGTTGAAAAAAATTATTTAAAGGCTCAGGTAGCGACCAAATTGGGCGGGATTTCTTCCGGAATTTGAATAAGAAGTGCGAAGAGAGACGTCAGTGGAGAAAAAGAGCAAAAAGAATTTTAGAAACATTCAAACTTTTTTTGTGACGTCGACTGTGGTACGACCAAAAGACAGAGGGCTGCGGGGAGAGGTAGATGCGCACGAAAGGGAAAATGCGATTTATGACAGGACCATTTTTCGGGCAGACTTTTGATGCCTTCGGCAAAGAACTTTTCTGGCTTCGATTCAAAAAAGTTGCTCAACCAGAGCTCAACGTGCTTCGAAAAACCGCGAGAACTTTCCCTACAACCTAATATTTTGGGTAAGACGGAAGGGGTCTGGGGGCGATTTACTGGTGTGGAACAATTTCAGGTGCTTGACAAGACTGTGGCATAGATCTTCATCCTTTTATATTTTTGCTATTGAACTGATCGCTACCGCTCAGATGTGCACCTGCGTTTATGAGAACAGTAAGTCTTCAAATCTCGATTATATTAGTTGCACAACAACAAGAAGGCGTAGTGTCTCATAGGTACGGATCAGTGCAAAACAAATACGCAGTCGTTTCGCTCTTTTAGGATCGACTAAATTGATCTTGCCTGAACTCTCAGTGTAAAATTACGAACTGAGTTGAAGACCAACTGTTCCCCTGTAACATCTGTATATAGCATTCCTCTGAAGATGGAGGTAGAGAGAAGGGCATTCACATAGAATCCTATAATCAAACTTAATGGCACGAGTCGCGATTGAGCTTTCGCTTTATTTGATTAGAAAATTTGAAAAGAAGCGGGGGAGGGGGATTAGATTGAAAAGAGCAAAAAGCACCATTGACAATATTTTGAAATTTTGCTTGCGAAGTCGACTGTGCAAGACCGAGAGACACAGCGCTGCGAGGAGAGGGAAAACGCGAGAGAGCACGTCCAAATATGTAAGAGGGCGCAAACGCTACGTATGCCACGATGTAAGGGTGCCAACGGTCAACCGAAGCCATTAGCTCCTTGTCGTACACTTTCAAGTCACGACAGCACCATCACCTCTGCGAATAGTGAACTGTCTCATTCCATTAGAGAATCTCTCTAAGGATTTAATCACGACTTTCTTTCTAAGTACCTTAGTTGGGCTTGATAGAAATTGAACTGAATAGAATGAGGGATCAGTTTAGTTTTCCAGGTCGTATTTTTGGGGCCTTACACGATTCGAAAATGCCATGCTCTCCTCATTAGTGGAGGCTAATCGCGGCAAATAGGAAATGCATGCAAATAATTTACTGCGCGTTCTAATCTTATAAGGAAGGTTCGTTTAAGGTGTGCACAGCATGGTACAGAGGCACATGCGGGAACCACAGAACCATGGTTTATTTTTCCTGAACGGCCCTCTGAATACCAGAAAAGGGGGTCCCTAGTCACACCTTTTTCACCAGTTTTTCAATCAAAGTCTATTTGTAAGGGTTACTGACGGTCCTAATCATGAATATGGTACTAATTATTCATGCTAACTCCATTTTGCGCGAATTTTGGAAACGTCAACTCGAAATGCAAAAATTTGTCACCACGAGGAATCGAACTAGGGACCCCTTTCTGGTATTCAGAGGGCCGTTCAGGAAAAATGAACCATGCTTCTGTGGTCCCCATATGTGCCCCAATGTCATGCAAGAAACCATTTTGAAAAAGCTTGGCACACCCTGAACGACCTCCCTTGTTAGTCAATTCTGACGTTTGGGTAGATTGCCCCATTGAAGTTGGAGGTGAGGCAGCTTCACATCCGACATTCCCTTCAAGATGTTGAGAAATGTCTGATTATAAGAGGGCTTGTCTTATATGAACTTTTCTGAAGATATATTTACGTTTATTTCAGGCGTTATGGTAAAACACTATGGGCCAATGGCGTTCTTCTTCACGGTAACGTCGCTACTGACCGTAGGATCATTTGTGAATCGAGGAGCTTTCGTTAGTCCGTTGGCTCCGATCGAAGCCTTCCTCTATGGAATCATCGGGTTGGCTCTTTTTCTGCTGCTACTCTGCACCTGTTTATCTACATGGGAGTTCTAAAGTTTGATGTTTCAGCCCAACGCGAACTGCTGGTGCTTCTATCAGCGGAGGCAATTGGAGGCTTCAGTGCTTTTCGTATAGCGCGAACTCTCTGGTATCACACACTGTCCTATTCCACTGCTCATTTAGAGAACTTCACAAACACTGCTTGCAGTCTAAATTACAAGGTACGATCTTCGCAAATATGAGGCAAATGTCTTCTTCCGTTGCCTTGAAAATCATATTGCAGTTATTCTAATTCATTTTCAGATTGCATTTCCTCTAGTAATCTGCTTCGAAATAGTTGGATGTTTCCTTCTCCGTCTCATCTTGCCGAATCTCCCTCTTCGTGGAAAGTCTTACACCGTCTCAGCAGTAGTAGCCGCTTTTCTGTCATTCGGTACGATTTTACCCTACGCTTTAGCTACTAAACTTTTGCTTTAATTCAAAGTGCTGCCCTCTCTACCCTTTAGGCTGTCTTCGGCTCTGGGCAGAGAACAAAGCTATGCTGCTATAACGAGTTTGAAGGAAAAGCTCTAGTCTCCCCTTCATGGCAGCTCGAATAAGTAGAGTACAGAGCCTTCAAATGCTACGAAATGATTTTTACGTCTGTGGTCTTGGTTTTTAGGCCGAACCTAAAGGCAAGGTCGGGCTCGGTTCTCGGGGCGAAACCTTCGACAATACAGAAAATAGAATCCCCTCTCTACCTACAGCAGCAGAAGAGGGTGGGAATAGCAGGAAAGCTTATCCGAACGAGTTTTTCGAATTGCCAATCATTTGATGCCGCTGAAAAAAAACCCCCTGCGAAGCAGTTGAGTACGGCAAATAAACCGCTAGCTGGTTTTCCCGCCTAATGCCGCCCGCACCACCTTCGTGGGGCGGTCATAAATAATACCAGGCGGCGATAGCCAACAACACTTCCCTTAGGGCTCTATTGCGGCGCTGTTTCGAATTGCGAGCGCGTTGTAATCTCTATGGGTGCGTAACCACACACAGAGGTGATGGAAGGGATCGGTTCGGTCGCTTAATCCCGACTTTGTCTTTAAGTGCATGCCCTAGGGTGCATCGTGTAGAAGCGCTCAACAATGAAGGGAGTGGTGCTGAGTAGGCTGAAAGTGTCAAGGAAAGCAAAAGAAACCATGGAAGCACTGAAGACGCGGAACCGTAATCTCCTGAGCTTATAATCTTGTGTGAGTGGCCGCTTCTATTTGATATGGCATTATTGCTGTTAGTTTAGTTCACGGGTCGCAATTAGAACCTTGGGAGAAAGTTTTCTCTGGGTGAGGTAGCAGGTTCTCAAATTACAGGGGTGGTGGTGCTGTCGCAAGCCGATAGTGCTCGACAAGGAAGCTAATGCGCATCCCCGACTGCTGCGACCGCTGCCATTCCT